GGACTGAGAGAAAATTACCAGAAGCAGCAGGCTCCCCTGGGTTCTACAGCTAATAATTTGTACTGGTCCTAGGTGGAAGATGGGCTTTTTGAAGGCAGCCTCCTTATCCAGTTTAGTTGGCCCAAATGCTCAGACCTAACCACAGTTCCAGATTCGGTCCCACTGGAACGCTCCTTAGAGTGAAATAAATATATTACCCATCTTTCTCCCTTTCCCCTGAATATCGTTTCCAAAAACATAGCTTAAAACACCCTACCCCTGCTTAGGAAGACAAATTTGAGTTTTTTCCCCTCCTTGGAGATGAAAAATTTATGAATCCCTCATCAACCCATGCAAATTTAGAGTCATGCAGTGCTTTTCTTAATAGAATCCATTTGAAGTATCTGGGTTGAGATCACGAGATAATGTAATGTCATCTACCATTTTATAAGCAATTCATGAACTGATATTTGAACATTTTGTAGATTCTGGAGCCTAAAGTTTGGGAAATTTGTATTGCGCAGGAATAACAGGTCATATACCATTGTGCAGTTAATATTTTGTCCTCTCCAAATCACAAAATTAAGCTAAAAGGAGTTGGTGCTAAAGAAATTAACTATATAAAATGTATAGTTGTCTACATGTTTGAATCACTCTATTTCCAACATTAAATAAAAAGCATAATCTTCACTAATAAGAGTGCAAATGAATTATTCCTATGTAGATACATAAATTACAGAATGAAAACGCTCCTTGCTTTCAGATTTCAGGATTAAATAAAAAATTGGTAACTTCTTTTACCCTCTAAATACAATTTTATATAACCTGAAAATATTAGATGTTAAATTCAAATAAATTGGCATTATTTCTGCAATTAAAGTTACTCTCAATTGATATCCAGAAGCAAAAGTGCATGTAAGTATATAAGATAGAGGGGAAAACAGGTCACTGTGAAAGTTGACTCCTCTCCAAAGTAGTCTCGGCATCAATGAGTCAGGATTCCGCGCTCTCGAACTACAAATCCTGAACACTTACGGTAGTCCCCCCCCGCACACACACAAAATCACAATCACATATAACCACACGTAGGCAAACATACACATCACTCTTCACCTCCAGTTTTATTGGAGCTCCAGCAAGAGATTTTGATTTCAGAGTTTTTGATTATTTAACAGGTGAGAAAACTAGGGCTCAAATTGAAATAAATTATCCAAGATAAAATCCTGCTGTTTTTTTTTCTTTTCTGTTTCAGAACCACAGTGTTGTCCAGGGACCTCTTCTGACTCTGTAGTGCAGTGCTTGGGGGGGACCATATGTGGTGTCAGGGAACTGATTCTGGTTTGACTGCATGCACGGCAAGTACATGACATACTGTATGATCTTTCAAATCCACAATCTCCAATCTAGATCATTGTCACTCAGCTCAGAGCTTTTTTCATTGCTTCTCCCAGTCCACAAAAAAAATAGATGCATAATGTCCAAATGGAGGAAGGTGAAGGGAGTGGAGGGGAGGCGAGGGGAGGAGCCAGCCATAAAGCCAAATCAGGGTGGGTGGTGGGAGGGAAACTGGGGACATTGGTAGAGGAAAATGTACACTGGTGAAGGGATGAGTATTGGGACCTGACTGAAACATGACTGAAACCCATGGACAACTTTGTAACTGTGTATCTTACTGTGATTTAATAAAAATTTTATAAAACAGATGGCAAGAAGAGAAATGGAAGGGGGTCCATGCATATCATCGCCCATTCAAAAAATAAATAAATAAATAACAGTCCCTTCAGGAAGCTCTCCTCAGGAGACCCACATTTGGAGATTTTGCATGCCTTCAGAAAACAACTCTTTTAATGAACTCACTGTGAACTGTCATGCAAAGAATCCTGGGCCACATAGAAAAGAAATGTAGGTCTGAGGCCCAGTAATTTCTAATAAAACTTGGAATATAGGTCAGAAAATCAAAGGGGTTTTGAATTAGGTTATGTAGCATTATGTTGTGGTGGAAAGAGCTGTGACTCAACAATAAAATGGATTTTTGACTCTACTACTTACACATTAAGTAGGAACCTTAAATAAGCTTATTAATCTCTCCAAACACACGTTCCTATCTGTAAAACGGAAGTAAATTTGGGAGTTGTTGAAATTTCATGCAAGAGAAAGGAGAGCGGAGACAGATGGTGAGACAGAAACGAAGAGTAAGAAAAAGAACACTGGGACACATAAGGAAATCTGAGGGGCAAGGACGTTCACAATTAGCTGGCATAGAATAGATAACTAAATGTCTGTTCATTGAATATAAAACCTACTCGGGCTGGCAAGAGAGTATAGTGGTGAGACACTTGCCTTACATACCGCTGGCTACTGCTCTCCATATATCCTATACTGACCCTATATGTGCCCTTCTCTTCTAAACCCGCAGCACCCCCAGTAGTAATCCCTGACCACAGAGCGAGGAATAAACCCTAAGCTCCTATGGGTGTGGCCAGCCTCTCTCCCAAAATAAAGGGAAAAAAATGGTATTCTTCATTTGGATCTATTCCTGAGAACAGTCCCCTTTGCTTTAATAGTATGGGTCAGAATGACCCTAAAGTCTTAGACCATATAAAATCTCAGGACCACAAAGTCTCAGGACCACTCAGGCACTGACACTGTGGGTCTTGGATTTGAAAATGATTGACCTAGAGGCCTTAAACCCTAAGAATAGAATACTTTGATTGCTTCTCCAAAGGCTTGATCTGGATGAATGCCTGGACAACACTGTATCCCTAGAGTCATAACAAAGGCAAAATTCAAGTGAACCCCACTCCCAAACTAACTTACATAATTCTCCTAAGTGGGTCAGGGTACACTATTCTTCTCTGATTTTTCTGACTCTGCTCACTAGAACTTGCCTGTTCACTAGTTTGTCTTGCCAACAAGACTATGAAGCATATTACTGTTTAGTTTGGTGTTGTCCCTTACATTTTTAAACTCATAGGTGTGTATGAGGTTTTTTTTTAAAAAAAAACTTCTTTATTAGTGTACCACTGTTAGCTCTAAAATCAGTTTAATAAACTAACAATCTCTACTCCCCCAGTTTCACCATTGCTCTTTCCACCTCTTGTTAAAAAGAAATCACTTCTCTAGTTTCACCATTTGGGCTACTCAGGAATCTGCTCAGTATGTTCCCCATCATGTTAATCCACCCAGTAAATGTTCAAAACCAGATCTCCCGTACTGTGTCCAATGGTAGTGATTGCAAAAAAGGAGCCATGATTTCTTCTGAGTCACTCAGAATAAAATGAGTTTAGAAGATGGCTCTGATTTTCAGAAAGACCACTAGGCATTAGCTAAAATATTTCTGGATCAAGAACTAGACGCTATCGTCAATTTGACTCTCTAAAAAATTACAACGTGGCTTGAAGACCTGGTACATAGTGTTCACTCATAAATATCTGCTGGATAAAGGAATAAATGGGATATGGTGGTGGGACTTTTCAGGGAGCTTTTATGGCTCTGGGATGATATAAAAAGATAAGCAGCAAATAAAATTATTTGAGGATAAAGCAAGTGAAGCAAATTTTTTATTTGTGTAAGTCTGTGTTTTGGCATCTGTGTTCACCCTCAGAATTTATGAGCATTTCAGATGTCCTCTGAGGAGTAGGTGATGCCTCAGAAACCATTTCCTGTCACAAAGTAGGTCAGTCGGGGATTTCTGAAAGTTGGGTACTGTCCTGAAAAACTCTGAACAATGAGCCTTCCTAAACAACCATCATCACTATAACATTCCCCTCTTTCTAACTCTCTTTGGGTCCAAAGAGTTCAGGATTGGATTCCAAACTCACTCTACTGAAAATCCTAAATTATTTTATACTTCTCTCCATGCTAGCTTGTACATTTGAAGGAGAGATCTTGTCTTTATAAATGTCCCTAGTAATGAGTACATGATAGGTATTTAATAAGTCAGTCCTTAGATGTCTTTAATATGTATCGCAATCCGTGAGAGCCCCAATGTGGACATCACTGGAAAACAAGGACATAATCGTCATTATTCTAGAGCTCTCCAGCCAGTTCTTTCTCTCCTCTTCCCTCCATCATCTGAAAGCGCTCTCCGGGATTGTAGAAAGTCAGGCAAACCGGAAAGATGAAATCACATACGCCATTTAATCGTGAGAAATTCGATGCTAGATTTCTGGAATCTTCTCTTTCAATAAGAAAAAAAGGAGAAACTCCCGCTGAAACAACTATCACAGGACTGACAACGCCTCGACAGCATCTCGAGACTGCGTGCAGACCTCAGGCAGGGCGTTGAAAGGTCAACTTGTTTGGTCCCAACTCTGATTCAAGAAAAAAAAAATAACAATAATAATAATTTCTCCTGCGAAGGGAAGGAGAGGAAGGAAACAGGGGTGGTGAGATTTTTCCAGCCGCTCCACCCAGCGGGTAATTGATCCCAAAGTGACTGGGGTGTGTGACTCTCAGACACCTCCAAGCACCCCACGCCTTCCACCCGGGCTTGCTGAGACAGAACGTTCCAAGAGCCTGCGAGGGGACAGGGACGGGAGGAAAGGCCGGGCTGCACGCGGGCCGGGATCTGCGGCCCAGAGGGCCCCCCGCGGAGCTCGCTCGCAGCCAATCGGAGCGTGAGGTCCCGGGCTGATGAGATGCGGGACCCGGGCTGGGCCAATCAGGCTCCCGGCGGGCCCGAGGGGTGGGGAGAGGAGGAGAGGCCGGGGCGATGGAGCCGGCTACATCCACAGCAGTTTCTCACCTTGGAATGCAGGGGACGCTCCCGCACTCCTGCACATCTTCCCCTCCAGGCCGCCGCGGGACATCCCGGCCCACCCCCGAGCAATTTCCTCCACCTCCTCCCGCCGCTCCTTGCAAGCGAGGGGGCAGGCTCCTGAGAGCCCCAGCGCCACCGCCCAGCTCTCCTTCACCGCCTGCGGGGAGAAGAGGGGACCCGGGCCAAGCTAAGGCTGCACAACTGACCTCTGGCCCGGCGGGGCGGGGAGCGCAGAGGAGGAGCGGCTGAGCCGGGGGACTCCATGCGGGGGCCATGGACAGAGCAGCGCTCCTGGGACTGTCCCGCCTGTGCGCGCTGTGGGCAGCCCTGCTCGCGCTCTTCCCCTGCGGAACGCAGGGCAACTGGATGTGAGTATTTGCAACTGGATGTGAGTATTTGCGGGTGTATTTGCAGCTTGGAGGGGGTGGGGGCGGAAGGGGCGAGGTGACCTGGCTCAAATCAACTTGGTGCCGCCCGGGAAGCGTCGGGTCGGGGGTTCTTTGGAAGGATGCCCCGATTCTCGGGGGAGTGTCTGCGCCTGGGGTCTGGAGAGCGCGGGGAGCGACTTAGCGCGTGGGGCGCGCGGCCTGTCCTGCAGGTGGTTGGGCATCGCGTCCTTCGGGGTTCCCGAGAAGCTGGGCTGCGCCAACCTGCCGCTGAGCAGCCGCCAGAAGGAGCTGTGCAAACGGAAGCCCTACCTGCTGCCAAGCATCCGCGAGGGCGCCCGCCTGGGCATCCAGGAGTGCAGGAGCCAGTTTCGCCACGAGAGATGGAACTGCACGGTGGCCGCCGCCTCCACGCCCGCCTCCAGCGCCCTCTTTGGCCACGAGCTGAGCAGCGGTGAGTCCGCCCCATCCCCTCCACACACATACACACCCCCACCCCGCACACACACCCACACCCGACCCCTTCCCGGGCGCGTGCGGGAAGAACGCAACAACCACCCGCACTCTGCCCTGCAAATAAAGTTGAAATGCGTTGGCTGGGGCCTGACAACGCTTTGCAAGTTTCCCAACGGAACAGTGGCTTTGGGTTGGGGTTTGCTTTTTCAAGTGGACGGGAGTCGGCGGAAAAGCCGGGGTGCAGGTGTGTGTGTGTGTGTGTGTGTGTGTGTGTGTGTGTGTGTGTGGTCCCCTGGGGCCGGGGGTAGAGGGAGATGGGGGAGGACTCCCCCAGGCCAGGACGGGGAGCTTGGCAGCCTGTTGCTGTTCCTCCTTCCCACCGCGCTCCATCGGAGTTGGAGAAAAACTGTTGACACTCCATCCCGCCGACCCCTCGGACCCCGTAGCTCACCCCCCCCCCCTACGTGGGGGACCAGCTGGAGAAACATGATGTCGGCAGCAGGGAATGCCGCGGCCGCATCTGCTTTGATTTAAGGCATTCGGCTGCGTAGCGAGTCCTGGACAAGTGGCTAATTGCCTCGGAGTTCCGCGTTCAGGGGCTCCTTGGAGCATCCAGGACATGGAATTAATGATGATATTATTATTATTATTATTATTATTATTATTATTATTATTATTATTTGAAAGGGGTTTTCCAGGATAACCCGACGTGCGAGGAAGCCAAGCACATCTACTTTGACTTTTTTTTTCTCCCTTCTGCTCGCTTTTCCTTCTCTTCTCTCTCTCTCTTCCCTCCTCTCTGCACACCCGCGGCGCCGCAAGCTGCAGAAAAAGTTCCCCAGTCTAGGGACCTGGTAAGGATAAAGGAACAGGGCACCGGGGTCGTTCCAGGAATAGCAACAGATGCGAAGACTTGTAGGACGTGGGTGCCGAAAGATTCGTTGTTTTTCGGGTTCATTTCCCGTTCTCCCTCCTCCTGTGACCCTTCCCCACCGAGGTCCCTACACACATCGCCGCCTTAGCAGCGCTTTGCCCCCGCTGCGCTTTGGCCGACACACCCTTCCCAAGGAGCCCTGACCCCCTGAGGGGGGGAACGAGAAAGAAAGAAATGTGTTCTCTCGACATTTGCTGAAATGCAGAGACATTAGCTGCTGGAAAGGTTTATTGGACCACGGGCCTGGAATTGTTTCGACTCCAATCTAAACATCTCGAAAGAAAAAAAAAAACGTATCCTGCTAAATCCCTCCTAATTCTTTTTATTACTGTTTTGATGGTTACTTTAATTTTGGAAGATTTTTTTAAAATCTCAAACTGCAGCAGGTGTTCTAAATACACATTCATACATAATGATTCCTTTTATTTTCTAGTGACATTTTAGTGATTTTCAATCCCTGCCTATAAGAGTGTTAGAGGATTAGCAAGTACTTTATAAAATATTTAACTTTTGTGATAATATCAGGGAGGTTATTTACAATGTAAATAACCCAAGAAAACGGTTATTTTCCTGAGAAAAAGCCTGATGTAAGGGAAAGTCTGATGTGAGAAAAAGCAAGCAGCAAGATTTATCTACTAATTGCTTAGGTCTTTGCTAAATCTTGATTTGCATTCTGATATACATTTCTCAATTTGTGTTTTGCACAGCTACATTTTAAATTTCAAAAGAAAAATGAACAGTACAAATTTTGACATGGTTTTACCATTCATGGCAATTATGAAAAGAGTTCTAATTCATCAGTTGTCTTTTATTGTTGTTAAACACTGAGCAAGGTGCTGACATGCATTTTAACTTTGCAAAAATAAAATTTTTAGTGGCATGAGGACAATTTATGTCCTGTCATAACTTATAATATAAAATATATGAAAATCCCCTTAAGTGGGCTACTAAAAAGTACTGGTTGCTTTTAAAAAGACGAGAATAGGAAATTGTGCTTCCTAACTCTCCATGTATTCACATAAAAAATTGAAAAATTGCTTCTTTGAAAAGTAGGCTAGGCTAAAGGCTTCTTTATGGACAGGAATGGAGAATGGTAAGGCTCTTTCACTTAGCGTTGTATGTTTTCTTCTAGGTACCAAGGAAACAGCCTTTATTTATGCTGTAATGGCTGCAGGCCTGGTGCATTCTGTGACCAGGTCATGTAGCGCAGGTAACATGACAGAGTGTTCCTGCGACACCACCTTGCAAAATGGCGGCTCAGCGAGTGAAGGCTGGCATTGGGGGGGCTGCTCTGATGATGTTCAGTATGGCATGTGGTTCAGCAGAAAGTTCCTAGATTTCCCCCTCAGAAACACCTCTGGAAGAGAAAGCAAGGCACTATCAGCAATGAATCTACATAACAGTGAAGCTGGAAGGCAGGTATGTATTAGAAAAATAGAGCTGTCAGACAGCTATAGGATTATACTTCTATATGAATCTACCAAAATGGTTTAAATGACAAGTGCTTGTGATCTAACAATTATAGATTGCATTCTACATATAATACATACATAGGCAGATGTAGTTTAATGATATATTAGTGGCTGACATATCTGTCACCATTTCTGTTCTTCCATGAGTCTGTACTGATCACACTGACAATTTATGTTTTTCATCTGATGTGAGTGGAATCTTGCTATGGAATGTGTCTGTGAATGTACACTTTGTAGACCTGGAACTTAAAAGTAGGTTCTTAGTTCCCTTCCTTCGTAAGTGGTAGAATAGGAACAAAATCTGCAGTATCTGACTTTCTAATGGGACTAAATCAAATTCCATTTCCTTAAAACTGAATTTCCATGATGTTTTAAAACAATGTTTAGAGAGCACAGTTTCCTAAAGATGTTATCAGTTTTGTCTTTTTATTCTATTAGCAAACATTATGGAATAAAATTTGTTAAAGAAAGCAATTATTATAAAGCAATGCAAATTTAAATATTGATAAATCCCAATAAATATAAAGAAGCTATAGAAACATTAAATGGATATTTTAAAATAAAGGTAAATTGAGGAGGAATGCAGATGTGAAAAATCAAAATCTGATTAACTTTCTTATATATATCATTTCCTTTATACTATACTAAATATTCTTAAAATGAAGTAAAATGTAGCTCAATTTAACCTTTATATATTTACCTTAAGACAATACAACTTGGGTTCTATGAAGACCAACTATCTATCCATTTAGAGTGAGTAACCCTCTTAAGACCTGTATATAAATATATTTTATATGTTGAACACTCTTTTCAGAATATGAAAATCAATATGTAATATATATTATTATAGGTATATTATAATTTATTAAGGTCCCTAAGTAGTCACTGCTACATTCTTATGAAATTAACTTCTTAAAAGTTGCAAGATCTTTTAGAGGCATTTAAAGTATATATTGTATTTGGTTTACACTTTTAGACAGTGAATAAATTGATCCCACTAAGAAGCATCTTTAGGAATATTTAAAGTATCTGTACTATTTGTTTTACATTTTGGGGCAGTGAACAAAAGGATCCTACTCGAAACAGTTCTTTACGGAGAACAATGTATATGTACATATAAAATCATAGCTCTCTGAATCAAAATTCTATTTATATATTAAATTGTAAATAGAAAATGGGTAAGTATATCTATATGATGTTTTCATATTTTGTTTACAAGTTTCAAAAGTTATTTTGTCACACCATAAAAAAATGCTTGCCTACTACCATAGTGATGCGTGTGTCTGTTTTTCCTAAAGTTTTAAATTTTAAAGAATCTCGATGAACAAATGTTTGCTTCAACGTAAAGTAGCATCCAGAGAAGGAAATTTTATTTCTAATATATTAATATAAAAGATGTTGAATGTAATTAGTATGTTCTTCAAAACTCTTAAGGGGCTGGAGAGAAAGTATAGCAGGCAGAGTGCGTGACTTATCTGCTGCTGACCTGGGTCCAATCCTCCACTCACCATATGGGCCCCCAGTGCTGCCAAGAGTAAATCCTGAGCACTGCTTGTGTGACCCCCCCAAAACAAACAAAACCCACAAAAATTAGAGAAAAAGACCAAGATGAATAAAATTATATTTTTCTTTAAAAATAATGAAATGAATATGCATTATAATCTAGACCTTCAATGTTCTTTAGGCATTTTAAAAACAAATTGATTAAAAAAAACTAGAAAACAACTCAGAAACTCTTATTAATTTTAACTCTCTTGAATAAAGTTATCTCTGGGCTTGTAGAAAAACTTTATAAGTCTTTGTAGATGGACTCTTATTGGTAATAGTAAGCAGCTATTTAATTTTATTCCATTTGGTATGCTTTGTTGTAAATCCATAGCATCAGTGTCCTCTGGAACAAGTCACTTTGATCTTAAACTATTGTTTATATTGCTTTTACTTTAAAGCAAAAATCTTTTCAGCATAATTTTTCATCTATCTTTTGTTGACTAAATAAAATTCTCTTAGGTTACCTAAGTTTTTACTACTATTGTAACCATGCATAAAATTATTCAGCACAAACATTTTATATAAGTTTAGACTTCTGAATCTCTTGTTTCTATACTAGTCTAGATAGAATCTTAAACATTAAAAAAATATTACCTAGATATTTTGAGGACATTGCACTGGTGTTTTTTGTTTGTCTTTTCTCATGTTGTGTTAAAATTCAAAACATTTTTGTATTTTTCTCTCTACGGATGGCCAAAAATAACAAGCTAACCACCATCACCACGACAAAAACGGACCAAGTTTCCAGGTTATTATCTAAGATGGAAAAAACAATCAACTCCCTCTTCAAATATTATAATTAGGATTTAATCTAATAGGCATTCTTCTGAATCAAGTTTGAGGTCTGCAGTCAATTGAATTGATTTTCCTAGTCTCAAAATCCCAAACTCAAAATGTAGGAAAGCATTCAGAAAAATGTGGGTACTGGCGCTTAGTAGTGCTATGAGTAGCACAGATGATTTTCTAACCACTGACCTTAAATACTCTGATTCCCACTTGCTTTCTGACACCATTCCTAAAGTTATGACTCCAAGAATAATGTTGCCGAATGGTGATTGGCTGACAGAATGATGTGATGTCTTCCAGGGGCAGAACTTCTGGGAATAATGTGACTTGGAATATTTATGGGTATTTCTTTTGGTGTGCTTAAAATATTTCCATTCTTCCCATGTCCACCTCATAAACTTTTAAGTTTCCCTACCCCATAATTTGTTTTATGATGAGTAACTCAAAAAAGTGGGAAGGGCCAACCCCAAATTTTCATTGACCTGTTTCAAGAATATTTATAAGTACTTGAACAGCACATAATTGTTTTGCTTTTCAGCAGGTTCAAATATATTTTTGGAGTGAGAGGGACAAAATGGGTCAGAGGAATAAGAATTCTACATATAACCACTCAACCTTGTGAAGCGATTTTTATAAAAACTTAAACAGATTATCTGAAGGTTGACAAAATGAAATACTCCTTACAAAATGTTCCACAATAATTTCTTTTGCCCATTTTTGTAAAGTTGGGTAAAGCAACATACTGGAAAATAATTGCCGCTTACTACATTACCCTGAATCAAAATTGTGGGACCAATCACTTCTTCCACCACTTCTCAAGTAGTTTCTATTTTTACTTAAGGATTAATGATACACCTTTCCTATTTCACTTCATTAGAAATTTATCAAACCAAACCTTAACACAAGGAGTCCTATAGATTCAGTGCTACCTTCCTAATTGCTCTCCCATCGTTTGAAATACTCTTCCCAAATGTGCACATCTGTTTGCAATAGTTAACAAAACATTCCTCTGTTAATATCGTTATAAACCTTAACAACTCAACTAGAGTAGAGAAAGGAATTTTCTCATAACCACACACAACTCATTCGGTTGCTATTCCCTTATTTCTCCTGTCACCAGAAAATAACTGTACTATCAAAATGGATATTTATCACTAATTAAGATTTCCAACTAAAGAGCACCAGTACATACCTTTTTAGATGTGTTCATTCAGTTTTCTTAACTATAATTGCATTTTCCACTTTTATTTTTCTTTGTTCTGCTAAAATTATTCTGTGGCATGTTGAGATCTCAAAGTATATCGTGTATACCTATTTTTCCTCATTTAAGTGTCATAATTACACTTTATTTTCCTGTAAATGTATAATAATAAGAGCATGCTCATGAACTGTCTACTCTGTGGAAAACATTTTTTTCTATAAAACGAACTCGAGTAAAATGATTTATGACCATGTGCTCAGAAATCCTCTAAGCTTTATAAAATTTGTGTGAATGTTTTCTAGGTGTGTGCTAATAACATTTTTTTATTAAAATCGATATTTTAATGTTTTTTTCTAGGGGTATAATGAGCATAATTATTTAAATTGTATGTCACGTTGTTGGGATTCTTCTTAAATTTTATATTATACATGTAGAGAGAGAGGAATGATAGAAATACAATTTCTTTTCCCCTAGTTACTATTTAGAACAAAAAGATAATAGAATTTAAAGGTAATAGAAAACTGTTTAAATGTCATCGCTGAAACGCATTAAAACGAATGCCAGCTATTTTAAAGGACTAGTTTTTTTTATGGCAGGAAAATCTCCCCTAAATTTCTCTACAAGCTCAGCAGGCGATAGAAGTGAAAACTAATCTCTCTTTTTATCCTTCAAACAAGCAAAGTAGTGTGTCACTCTCGGGGACTCCCTCTGATGACTGAGGAATTGGAATAGAGTCCAATTCATCAAATGCTTCTATATCATCCACCTTCCCTTCGTAACACTTAGGTGTAGGAGAGTGACATTTATTGTGTCACCCCAATTCCAACTCCCAATAGAGGCTGGTGTAAAACTGCTTACATGAACTGGACTTATTCATTTTTCAAGACCCAGTTGATGAACTTCTATTTCATTTTCCATGCTAAAATATTGGCAACACAGTCTGATGTCTGAACTGGTTAAAAAAAGAGAAAGTTGGCTCCTCTGTCAGGATTCTGAGTGAGAGGCAGCTTTAAATCACTAAGTGATGACTGTAAGGAACGTTAACCAGGTTTAAACACATAAACATACATTTTTAGATTTTTTTGTTTTCTTTGGACAATTTGTTTGGTTATTACCTACCATTGATGAAACTCTCTTTTTCTTATATTCCTTGAGTTTTTAATGTCTGAACAAAGTAGGCAGATTAAGTTGATTTGAATGTTTATTTGCCTGAAAATGTTTTAAAGGTTTTGTGAATACCGAAAAACATAAATTCAACAAAATATGCTTGTGCACCGTACTTCATAAATTGCTTTCATATAATTTGAAGATACCTTTTGCTGAGTTAATAAGTATACATATATACTTACTTTTTGGCTTTATGAATTAAAAAATAGCATAAGTCCTATTTTCTATAAAGGACAGGCTTAACTGTTCTGCTGTTTATTTTTTCAAACACTACTAAAAAAGTATTGAATATTACTCAAATCAAAACCATATGCTCCTATTCAAGGTTGCAAATATTATAAATTGTTTGAAATATCCTGTCTCCTTAGATAGCTCAGAAACCAGTTAAATTGTGATGAAATGTAACATTTCACAAACATGTCAGTATCACATTCGGAAAAACAGCCAAGTCTACACCTCTGTCATTTTATTGTTTCGATAAGAACTATAAGTCGAATTTAAGCTGCAGGCTTTCCCGTTTCTTTGATAAGATTACATGCAGAATTTGCAAGTTATTGAATGAAGAGATCTATTTTTCATCTTCCCCAGCATGTTGACAGAATGTCAGCTCTACAGCTAGATCTGACAATATATTACTCTGCTTTGCCATCCTCTGGGAATTGGAGGAGGCTAGGCCAACTCGTCTGGTGTGTGAGAGATTATAACCTTAAAACTTTTGAAATCTTAATATTGTTTTTGCTCTGTTAGTCCCATTTGAAAATTCATCTCGACTTTCACTGTCGTTTCTTCTTCGGGGAGAGGAGGCGTTTATGTAAACCTTCATGCGTGTCAGGCATTATTCAGACTAAGTTCTCAGTCTGACTAATTTCTCAGTCTGAATAAACTAAATCTTGCATAGAACTTAAAAGTTGTATAAATGTTATCCCCTGCCTATTTTACGAAGATGACTCTGTTCTGTCAAGAATAGGATGTATGTTTTGAATTAATTTTTAAAGAATGAGTGAGGGAGAATTTTCTGGGAGCAACAGCATACTCCAGTCACTTCTTGTAAATTGAGTAGATGGGGTTTCTCATGCGGTCTCTACCCAGGGCATAGCATGGTCCCCAGCCCTCTGGGGATCAGAACTGGGAATACGAATCAGACCTGAGAACTCTGATTCAGTCAGTAGGTTCTCATCCTTGATGTCCGTTAGAATCACCTTAGCTGCCTAGTCAAAATACTGTTTCCTGGATTTCACCTTGAGTGATTCAATCCCAGTGTCGAGGGTTCAGGCATTAGTAGGGTTTTATGCATATGAATATTTCCACATACTGCATGAACAGAGGATAAAAACCCTCTTGAGTCCCTCAAGTTTAGTTGTACTGTGAATCACCTAAGCGTCTTATTAATATGAAAGTTTCTCCCTGGCACCACACAATCCCCCAAACACCCCTGAGCAGAGACCAGGAAATAGAACTGAGAAATGCTAGGTGTGTCCCAGAAGCTACAGAGAGGGAAAGAGAGAAAGAAACAGAGAAGACAGAGTCAGAGCAGACAGAGATAAAAAGAGAGTTTTTCAAAAACAGCAAGAAAGAGCAACTTTTTGATTCTGGTGGTCTGTAATTCTAAATGCTGCTTCTGCTGCTTCACTCTGGGCTTCAAGATACTCAATGACAACGGCCACAGAGGCATATAGCAACAAATTTTTATGCCCCCCAATTAAACAGGAGTTTGAAATAAGGAGTTTCCATTTATAATCCCAGATTATCTCTGAGTAGACTAGATTAGCCTTGTCTGTGACCAGAAACTCAATTTAGCAAAGTTTGCTCTGGTGAATCCAGAGAAGGTCAAAACTATGTGAAACTTGAAGCAATTTGTAAAGATCCTTTACGTTCTGTGTCCTTCGTGTAGTGTAGACAGACACAGACCCAGGCAGCTAAGTATTTGGTGCTTCTGCTGTTGAATAAAAGCACTTCCTGCGTAATATTTAACACAATGACTGTTGGTTGCAGGCTGTTGCCAAGTTGATGTCAGTTGACTGCCGGTGCCATGGAGTTTCTGGCTCCTGTGCTGTGAAAACATGCTGGAAAACCATGTCGTCTTTTGAGAAGATTGGCCATTTGTTGAAAGAGAAGTATGAAAACAGTGTCCAAATCTCAGACAAAATAAAGAGGAAAATGCGAAGGAGGGAAAAGGATCAGAGGAAAATCCCCATTCACAAGGATGACCTGCTTTACATTCATAAGTCTCCCAATTACTGTGTAGAAGACAAGAAACTCGGGATTCCAGGGACACAAGGAAGAGAATGCAACCGAACGTCAGAGGGTTCTGATGGCTGCAACCTCCTGTGCTGTGGCCGAGGTTATAACACGCATGTGGTCAGGCATGTGGAGAGGTGTGAGTGTAAGTTCATTTGGTGCTGCTATGTCCGCTGCAGGAGGTGTGAAAGCATGGCTGACGTCCACACTTGCAAGTAACTGCTCCGTCAGGCCTTGGGCAGCGTGGCTCAGGGACGTGCAGTTGGAGTCTCACCCAAGGGTGCATCTTTCACTGTGCAGGACTGACAGCTGACTCTGAATTCCAAGATCCTTGTGTGCCTTTCAGTTTCTTTTATCTGGGCAACATCCAGTCACATACAGAACACGTGAATGTGTAGAGATTTTTTTTTAATTATGAAAGTTTTGAATGAATATTTCTGTTGGTTTTGGGATTATGTACTGACTTACAAGGAAGATGAGCTGTCTCTCAACCAAGATCCCTTCTGCCAGGAAGAGTTGGTCCATTCTCAGGTTTAGATCTTTGACTGTGGAACTCAGTTACTTATAGAACTTGATAGCAGTGGGGGAATGCTGACCATTAAAAAAGACACTTCTTACAGAAGCAAAGAGCGGTAAACATGAAACTCATTTAATCTCTCAATACTTTAGATGAAACCATACGAGACGGTAATGGAAACAGGCTGAAAAATTAAGAGAAGTGGTGGGTTCTCTCTTGCACTTCCCAAAAAGGACAAATTAAAAAGTCTTCAGGAATGATGTCATTATTCATAAAAAGTCTTTATTGGAAGTATTTTGTTACAAATAGAAAGAAGCAAAATACCAAAAGGTCTCATTCAAATTTTAAGTGCCTTTTAACTAAAAGATTTTATCTAGAAAATAATCAGTAGAGTTATAGCAACTTAAAGCTATTGCTTCATACTTGAATTATAGACCAGTTTTCACTATTAAAAAACATCTCTGAAAAACTGGGGGTGGAAGGGATCCTGAAAGCTTGTGAGAAATTTTGAGTTAAAAATAAAAAGGGCTCTCATACATTGTAAGGAAAAGCACGCTTTACACATATAAAGGCAGTATTTTGTGAAGTATCTTACTTTAAAAAGTTTTATATTTTGTAAATAGTGTTTAAGTTATGTTATATATTAAGAATTAAGACATTTATTGCCAAAATCCAAGAGCTAAGGCAATAAAAGTATCTTAGAAATAGAATTAGCTTCTTTTTCTTCTTATAGTCTTAACTCTACATTTTTAATACATTGAAAAAGAAGCTAATTGTGCAGTTTAGTTATATTGATGTATATTTCTTGCCCAAATGACAGTTTTATATGTTATAGTTTAAAATATGCTTCAGAATGCCGAGAATTATGTTATTTCAGCGGTCATATTAGTTGAATTCTGTTTTTAATTAGTTATGCTTAACTTGTAAGTTTATTTTAATAAATTATGCAGTAAAAGTCTTAACTGGAAAAAAAGAATCTAAATCAGAATAATGATCAATTTGTGGATTTGATAGCCTATATATATTTATTTTATTACAAGTAATGCTGCATTTTCATGTGAATGTTAAATAGCTTTTCTTGTTTTTCTATTCATGCATGTATATTCATCCTATTTTACATGGTTTTTCGTGAAAATTACAGGATTATATTTAAAGTTGTATTTTAATAAGAATACTTATGTTTCTATGAAAATTGTTAAATATTTTGGAATTATATAGAAAATTATATAAGTTCAGAATGAACAAAAATATTCTTATAATCATCAAAGAAATGTTTCCCCGTGCTCCCTTTCCCCCAGGTCTTGTCTATTTCCTTTCAGTTTATGTACTATAATTTGTGGAAAAGAAAAAAAAATATGCCAGGTTTAATATTAAAATCAAGGTGAAACATTTAACCATGGCCCATGATGTTGAGCAGAATCATTATTTACCAAATCAGAGATTCAGAAATGACAAGTAAACAAATACAGTTCATATTTAAAAGAGTGATACACTAATCTTTTGTATCCACTGATTAAAATAACACAGAAAATAAGTCTCATTTTTTAATAGTAAAAATCTAAATTTTTTGCAATAAAAATAAGCACCTTAAAAAAAGACAATTAAGACTGTAATTCCCATTCAGGAACAATTTTTTCTATTGACTAGAATATTTTTTACAACTACCTTACCTATCAATTGTGGGAAATGGGCAGTCTGTAATTCGTAAATACCTAATTACTACTAAATCTTTGCATAAAAATATGGTATGGTCAATCCAGTCTCTCTTTTATGGTATTCCTAAGTAGAAACATCTAACTCCCAAGTTATTTCTTTGGGTTCTTTTTCCTTCTCCTGACATCACCATGGAAACGATCTTTGAAATCTCAGCTGTTAACTTTTACAGGCTAACAACCTGGCCATGAGACCAGCCAGAGAGACAGATGTGTGAGCTGTAATGCATGCTCTGTAGAGAGAGCTAGGTTTGATCCCTGACACTCATGTCTGAAGAGCACAACCAGAAATGACCCCACAGTACTGAGCTGAGACTAACCTCCCAACATCACAGGGTGTGGTCCGAAAACAAATGAGCAGCCTCCCACTAATTTTGCCTTGGTCTTTCCCTTCCAACTGTCCATCATGATGGCGGGAGCATCACGGTGCTGCTGGAAATATAAATTCTAGGGTACAAGCATTCCTGTTCTGTTATCTGCCTAAACTATTTTTTCTGCATTAGTTAGGTTTCTTTACTGTTGCAGGTAACTGACAAATATGTCACAGTGACAAAAATTAATGAAAATGAGTCCAGCCTGAGAAGCCCAGAGCTCAAGTGGAGCTTAAATGAGAAGCTCACCCTAAAATTTCACCCAAGTCTTCTCATTTGCATCTGGAAATAGCTGTCTTCTATGTCATTCTTTTCTACTTAGGCTCCACAAAGTGTTGTGCTATTGCCTCCCAGCCTCCCCACAAACCCTAAGTGCAGCAGTTTTTCCTACCCTCTGAACTACCGTCTTGCTCCTATCGAAGGTTTAGAAAACACTATATACCAAGCGTTGCATTTCCAAATTTCAAGTTCCTGCCTCTTCTAAGAGGTTCTTTTTTCTTTTCTATTATTTCAGGTTCTTTTATAGGAGGGGAAAATTGTTTATTTCTCAGCAACCCAACAAAGGTCCTCAAGAGTCTCAGTGGCTCTGACTAATATAACTAATCACATGGCAATTGGAAATTTGGGTTGGGAGACAGGTTCAGCTATCTAATCCAGGCAAGGGAGACACAACCGTGCCTGAAATTGGCCATGAGGTTTATTTAAACTTAAACCGTGTAGCTTGAGAATACAAAAGAAATGAGTTCACAGCGGGGGAAACAAGGTGTTATGTCATCATTAGAGAGTGCCTGGATGTCAGAGAACAAAAATACTACATATTCCTACTTCTGGAATGGCTGGAGCTATAGCACAGAGGTAGGGCGTTTGCCTTGTGTGCTACTGGCGCGGCCGAGCCGGGTTCGATTCCTCTGCCCCTCTCAGAGAGCTTGGCAAGCTACCGAAAGTATCTCGCCCGTACGGCAGAGCTCCTGGTGGCGAATTCGATATTTGATATGCCAAACACAGTAACAACAAGTCTCACGATGGAGACATTACTGGACCTGATCGAGTAAATCGATGAACAACAGGAGGACAGTGATTCCTACTTCTGGTGATGTATTTAGGAAATAGGGTACCATGTGAGTCAGACTGCAAAATGTCCTTAGGTTTTCATCAAAATGTTTATTTATGCTTTTATCAAAATATTTATTAACATGCCCTTTATAATGTTGAAAGGAGAGGAGAAATGCTCCAGTATATTAATTTTCAACTGAGGAGCTCAAGTTTTTGTAAATTTGGAAATGTCTCACCAAGGCAATGATGGCAATGATTGTTACAGTGATGGTTCTTTTGAAATGAAATTAAGAAAAGCCTCAATTGGTGTTATCTGTCACTTCCAGGTAAGAAATTAACTAAAGAAATTGTCTGGTATGACAAATTATAGCACTGTAGCACTGTCCTCCCATTGTTCATCAATTTGCTTGAGCAGGCCCAGTGACGTCTCCATTGTGAGACTTCTTGTTACTGTGTTTGGCATATCAAATACATCACAGGTAGCTTGCCAGGCTTTGCCATGCGGGCGGGATACTCTCGTAGCTTGCCGGGCTCTCTGAGAGGGTCGGAGGAATTGAACTCGGGTTGGCCGGGTCAGCCACATGCAAGGCAAGCATCCTATCCACTGTGCTATTGCTCCAGCCCATGACAAATTATACAACATGAAAAGCACTTTGAAGTTTTGCAAAGGAGGTGTAGGGGTGTGACTTGGTGAAGGAGCAATTGCCTTGTGTGAGACCCTGGGTTCCATTCCTGGCTGCACCTGGTTCCCTAAGAACCACTGAGAATGTGGTCCCTGAGCACTGAGCTGGGAGTAACCCATGAATATCCCAAGATTTGGTTCCAAAATAAAGCAAGAGAATACCAATAAGATGTTCTGTAAGTTAGATTCCCAGACCCTATTATGCAGTTTTATCATCATATATGATGGCACAGTCATGGTCCTCCCGTTGTTCCTCGATTTGCTTGAGCGGGCCCAGTAACGTCTCCAGGGTGAGACTAGTTGTGACTGTGTTTGGCATATCAAATACATCACGGGTAGCTTGCCAGGCTCTGCCGTGCAGGCAAGATACTCTCGGTAGCTTGCCAGGCTCTCCGAGGGGGGCGGAGGAATCGAACTCGGGTTGGCCATGTTGGCTGTGTGCAAGGCAAACGCCCTAACACTGTACTATCGCTCCAGCCATATCATATATCATATATGATATTCACAATATTTTGAGGTCCTGAATTTGATCTGACACCATGATATATTTTCCCCCCAGACCAGCCTTGTATGACCTTAGTGACCCCCATTATCCCTAGAAATGCTCCAAGACTCCACCTGACTGGAACTACCCTATTTATAAAAATTGTGGAATCAGAAGGTTTTCATCAAAATAGCAGTTTGATGAGCTGCTGATACTTTTTGCAATAGCCACCAAAAAGAGAATTAAACCATTTGAAGCCAATTGGTTTATTTTGCAGAGCACCATAATCCACATAGCTGACTTGAGGGTTGAACAGGCTAAATTATGTCTCTAAGAACCATGAATTCTCTCGAAGATAAGTCCTTCATAAGAAAGTTAGCTAAATTGCCTTGATTACTTTATAGACTTTAGTTTCACTGTAGACCAGTTGCGGTTAGTCATTAACATGTCTTGGAGTTGGATGATGAGGTAAGC